CTTATATTACTTGCAGCAAGCTATGCTATTTGCCAATTGCCATTACGCATTTCTGAGGAGGAGCTCTGATCAAGCTATTCTACACACAATCTTTTCTGGGTTGGAAGCTTACTAGAGTAGCATAAACCAGTAGTTTCAGACTTTTAACTTCCTATTGTAATCAATAAGATGTTGAATTACAAAATCGCCCATCAAAAGTTTGAATAATCTTTTTACCCTTTAATTACTCATTACTTCTATAATATTTTTGTGCAAAAAAGTAAATATACATTTAAATAAATACTACTCTACCAGATTTACTCCGCCACCATAATGTCTCTTGAATATATCAATTTAATGTAGTGGTATTTCTAGGTAGAGTGAATTCATGGAGTTATTTTGTTCGTATTCCAATTGGATATATGAAAAGTTAAGGTTGAAATATGTACCATTTTGTAACAGCCAAAAGCAATAAATTCTTGGAAAGCAATATGTAATGAATCTCAAAATTCTTAAAATGTGATGAGGAATAGCAGGGCACTGTTTATGATTCCAGACCGGAAACTCAAACCCTCTCTCATAGTCATGTCCTCATTCTTTATCATGCAATTTTATATGCGTTTTTCGTTTTCCTAATCCTTACATTCTGAGATTTTCTCTTCTTTTTCTTTTCATATTCTTTGGGATAATTTAGTGTGTTAATTTATTTTGCAGCTTAACCTTGCTGACTAAATCAATGTTGCTTCTGTAAGATTATATCTGCAATTGTAAGTCTTCATCTCAAGTTCAAGGTAATGACTTTGATGTAGTACGTTGCTGCAATTTTGGAAGATTATGTAGGTAAATGGTACTATTGGTGCATGATTTTGAACAAATTGAGGATGTATCAGATTTCGATGCCATATGTAAATTATTTAAGAGTATTAGAATAGCGAAACAGAGAATACTATTTGTGTGCATCTACAGGTTATATGTAGTGTACTACTGCTTTTTACTGCAACCATGTGAAGAGAAAGGTCCAGACTACTATTATGTGAAAGATATGTACAAAGAAAATATTTATGAGATGTGCACGAAACTTACTTTTTCCTACACCTCTATTTTTATTTTATAACTAATATAATTGCTTTTAGAATATACTACAAATCTTCCTTTAAATAATATTTATACTCACATATATGTTAATAAAATTACTTGATAGAAGTAGATAATTGACATTGCACTATATTGCCTCACACACCATGGGATCAATTAGGGGTACGTAGTGTTTTTATGTTTCCGAAAATACTCATTTGCATGACATCTCCAAAGTTGCTAATCCCAATCATTACATACTACAGAATTCGCTAACATCATGCATAGCACAAGTATAAAATGGTAATTCAAAATATTTCTTTATATACTTTAGTTTATCTTTTATTATGCAGAACATGTTTTAATAATCTTATGTGGTGTAGGCACTAAGTAACTCAGGATATACGAACATCGTAAAATAATGATTCATCTATTTAAACTTAATTCTTTCCCTCAAATTTTGTGTAATTCATAGCATACATATTCTAATATTATTTTAAAATTGATTAGTATGGGATACACGTGTAACGCACGTGTCCAAAAACTAGTAGAAATATAAGTGTGCATAGTAAGTGTTTAAATCACCACTAGTAAATTGAACCAAAAGTTGTTCATTCTTTCGCGGCCAACCAAAATTAGACCTTAGTCAACTCGGCAAATCAGATGTACATTGAAAGGCGACAAGGTTAAGTATCTCTTACATGAAACAATGATTGTTATTTCATTATTTGCTTCTTTTTTTATTTTGTTTAGCATTGGACTAAGATGGATTTAAATAAAGCTACATGATCATTAAGAACTTTATGGCTGAGCTTAAAGCTATTTTATAGCATAATGATGTTTTGAGCAGGTTAAGAATTTTGGGATAGTCGTATTTACAAAGAAAATTCTACCGAAAATTCTAAGAATTTAGAGAGTTAGTGATGTTTTGAGCAGGTTAATTATTTCTGATTCTCTTTTGTAGGTGCAGCGATTGCGGATGGAAGCAGTGACAAAGACCTTACTTGAGTGTTGTTGATCGTTGTTAGACTTTCTATTATCATGTTCAAGGATATTTTAGTTTAGAACTTTTTGTATGCAAACTCATCTATTTTGACTTTTGAATTGTTGATCAAACAATGTATTCATATTTTATTTTTGTATATGGATAATGCTAGTTGGATATTTTAATTTTATTTCGTGGTGTATATAAGTTATGGTGTATAAAATTTTATTGCATAGGAAAATATTCCTCATTTTGCTTCCATAAATATCAAAAATGATAATTGTGAATTGTTGGAATAGAGAATATAACTGTTCCAATAGACCTAGAAATAATAACAACAGCCCTTAACTCCGTTCCAATAGACCTAGAAATAATAACAACAACCCTTAATAACTATTGCAATATGTTGCAATAGTTGTTGCAATAGGATAACGATAATTGTTCCAATATATCACAAAACTATTGCAATATATCATGAAAACCGCCGCAATAGACTTAAAAAAATCGCTGGTATAATTGTACCACAATAGTTTATAACCGTCCCAATAGAACCAAAAATCGTTCCCATAGATGGAACAATGGTAGCAGATCCATAACCGTTACAATATCCCTATATGGAGATGGTTTAGAAACTATTCCAATTGACCTATTGTAATGCTAAATCCTGTAACGGTTCTGAATCCGTCCCATTATCTCTACAGGGACGGTTAGTGTATCTATTGCCACGGTTTTGGAAGGGTTGCCATAGGCATAATTTCTAGTAATGGCCTACTCAGGTTTCAAGCTGGATGTGATTGGGGAGTTAGCAGAAACACAAGTTGGACAAGTTGGTAGGTGATTCATTAGAAATATGCATTACTCAATCGAGTACATTAGAGGATGAAGACCATGAGATCAATAGAGAGGCTGAGGCCCTAGATACTGAAAATCAAGTGGTAGATGAAGAGGAATTCAAGAAAGAAATGACTAAGCCCATGCTGGAGTTGAAAGTACTCCCAACCCATTTAAAATATGCTTTCCTTGAGGCTAATAATATTCTTGTGATTGTTTCTGCTGATTTGACAAGTGAACATTACACACATGCTAGTGGAATTTTTGCGGAAGAATAAAAAAGTGATTGGCTGGAGCATAGCTTGTATTCAGGGAATTAGCCCTGCAATCTACATACACAAGATCTTATTGGAGGAACGTAGAAAACCTATAGTGCAGCCCTAATGCAAATTGAATAAAAACCTAGAGGAAGTGGTACAGAAAGAGATATTCAAACTGCTGGATGTTGGTATAATATTTCCCATCTTCAACAGCCTATAGATCAACCCAATACAGATTGTACCGAAAAGGAGGGGCATGACAGTAGTGAAGAACGAGGACAACAAATTAATCCATACCATTACTTTCACTGGTTGGAGAATGTGTAAAGATTACACACCACTGAATGACTCAACGAGGAAGGATCACTTTCCTCTCCCTTTAAATGATCAGATGCTAGAGAAGGTGGTAGGGCATGGATACTATAGTTTCTTAGATGTTTATTCGGAGTACAATCAAATACCCATTGCTCTTGAAGACATCGAGAAAACCACGTTCACCTGCCCATCAGGAATTTTCGCATACCGAAAAATGCCTTTTGTGCTTTGTAGTGCGCCACCTACATTTCAAAGGTGCATGATTTCTAGTTTTTCAGATTTGAATGGAAAATGTTTGGAGATGTTCATGAATGACTTCGCTCTTTTTGGGGAAGACTTCAATGACTGTTTGAGGAATCTAGAGTTCGTGTCGAAACATTGTGAAGACACTTACCTTATACTCAACTGGGAAAATTGTCACTTCATGGTCAAGTAAGGGATAGTTTTAGGCCACAATGTGACAGCTGAAATCATTAAAGTTGATAGAGCTAAAGTAGTTATGACTGCTAAATGCCCAACACCAACTACAGTGAAGAGCATTAGAGGTTTTCTAAGGCATGCTTGATTTTATAGAAGGCCATCATGAATTTTTTCAGCATCACCAATCCCTTAACGACTTTACTTGCTAGGGATGTGAAGTTTGTGTTTAGTGTAGAGTGCCTCAGAGCATTTGGGTTGATCAAGAAAAAGCCAGTGAGTGCTCCCATAATGGTGACCCTGATTGGAGCAAATCCTTTGAAATCATGTGCGATGCTAGTGATGTGGCAGTGGGGATAGTGTTGGGGCAAAGAAGAGATAAAATGTTTAGACCCATCTACTATACAATTCGGACATTGAATGATGCCCAACTAAACTATGCTACGACAAAAAAAGAGTTCTTTGTAGTGGTATTTGCCTTTTCAGATCATATCTAATGGGAAGCAAAGTGATAGTGCATACTGATCACTCAACATTAAAGTATTTGCTAAGTAAGAAGGAGTCAAAACCGTGTATGATGCGGTGGGTATTGTTGCTGCAAGAGTTTGATCTTGAGATCAATGACAAGAAAGGCACATAAAACTATGGGGTTGACCATTTGTCTCGATTAGAGAAACCACCTGTAGAAACTGTGGAGATAAGAGAAGAGCGGTCTCCGAAAGACCTCCATGGTATGCTGATATAACCAACTTCTTGGCTAGTGGGTGGCTATCTCATGATTTGTCCTCTGACCAGAAGAGGAAGCCACAAAGTGAGGTAAAAAGCTATTTTTGGAATGACCCTTTTTGGTTTAAATTATGTGCAGATGGCATGATTTGGAGATGTGTACCAGAAGGGAAAAAGGAATGAATACTATCATATTGTCATGACGGAGCAACTGGAGGACATTATGGAGGAAATAAGATAGCTGCAAAAGTCATGAAAGCCGTGTTCTACTGTCCTTCCTTATACAAGGACGCAAGAGCATATGTCACTACATGTCACAAGTGACAACGGATAGGTAGCATTAGCAAGAGAGACGAGATGCCTCTAAACTCTATTCCGGTATGTAAAGTTTTGACATTTGGAGCATCGACTTTATGGGTCCCTTCCCATCTTCCCATTCATATGAGTATATCCTAGTGGTTGTTGACTACGTCTCTAAATGGGTTGAAGCAATCCCTACTAGGACTAATGATGCTCGTGTGGTATGTGAATTCTTGCGAAAGAACATCTTCACCCGCTTTGGGATTCCCCGAGCCATCATCAGTGACAATGGGTCACATTTTATCAATAAACAGTTTGCAGCACTCCTGTCAAAGTATGGGGTGACTCATAAAATAGGAGCCCTGTACCATGCTCAGACTACTGGGCAAGTGAAAGTAGGTAACCGTGAACTTAAACGAATTCTGGAAAAAATGGTTAGTTCTTCCCAAAATGATTGGTCAATTAAGTTAGATGAAGCACTATGGGCGTATAGAACAACGATCAAAATGACCATAGGGACTTCACCCTTCAAGCTAGTGTACGAAACATTGCGTCACTTACCTGTGGAGATAGAGCATAAGGCTTATTGAGAAATTAAGTTTCTTAATCTTGATCATAGTCTTGTAGGAGAACACAAAATGTCACAGATGAATGAGTTAGAGGAATTCAAATTGGGTGCATATGAGAATGCACGAATCTTCAAGGAAACGATGAAGAAATGGCATGATCGTCTGATTAAGCCAAAAGAATTTCATGATAGGGAAAAAGGTCTTACTATACAATAGTAGACTCAGATTGTTTCCCAGAAACTTCAAGTAAAGATGGACGGGGCCATATGTGGTTAAACATGTATCACCATATGGAGCGATTGAGATCCAAAATATGGAAAGAATAGAGAGTTTCAAGGTAAATGGGCACAGGTTAAACCATATTTTGTTGGAGGATTTGCTAAGAAATCCTCGAGCATCATAAACAATTGAGTGTGCCTGGTTGAGTCAACCAGACGACTATAACTCAGAACTACCTCTAACCCTTTTACAAGTTTGTGTTTTTATTTCTTTATTTGTAGCGTAAGTTAGTTTGATTTCATTTTTTTTATTTTAGAAGAGTAGTGATTAGTGTGTGGTGTGCATTTTTGAAGTTGCAGGGATATATGTGTGAGTGGATGGACAAGTTATGATCTCAGCTGAGAATTCTACGCACGTAAATGTGCATTGCAGCGCACCTTTAAGGATAACCATGCATTTGAGCTCGCAAAAAGCGGTGCATGAGTGCACTAGACGTGTGTGGCTCACACGAAGAGCCTTGATTGCAACATAAGCACATCAGTGCATGCCTTGACCTGGATTTTATTCCCTTCTTATTCTTTTCTCGTCTTTTCCCTTCTTATTCTCAACCCCCCAGCGGAAAAGAAAAACAATACCCTAACTCTATCCTAACCCCTCTAACCCTCCAGCCCAAATCATCTTTTATTCTCCCCCTCTCTTTCTCGCTCACTCTTCCCCTCCTTACCTGTCACGCCTCGACCTTGGGGAGCGCGACCGGTGCTCAACCAAGATATCCTGGTCGAGAAAGACTGCACAATGCCGTCTATCTGACTCACCCAAGAATAAAGAGAAGATACATTTCATTAATTAGACAATAAGAAGGTCACGCGAACAACACCATTTCATTACCATTGGTTACTTCATTTATAAGTCTCAAAATACATTACACATTTATATTTTGAAGTGGAACATGTGATACAAATACAACATTTTTAGTTTGACTTTTCCAACATCAATATATAACCCACACCATGTCTACGGAACCTCTAACAGAAACCAAAGAGTGTTATGACAGTACCGATGACAAGGCCACGACTATACCTCAAAATACTAGGTATAAAGGACAAAAGATACAGGACCCCAAAATGAAGTGGGGCTTACCAAGTCAACTGAGAAGAGGGTGTACTGTTATCACTGCTCAATGTTGCCCGCTGTGGAATCACCTGCATCCATTAAAGATGCAGCACCCCTAGAAAAATGGATGTTAGTACATATGAAATAGTACTAATATGAAAACTAAATACCCCCTCAATAGAACGAGTAATAGTACAATGATAAAGAAACATGAAATCAATGAGGGCCTCATCAATATTAAAGTACCAAGTTAGGAAAAAGAATAAATTTCAAGCAAGTTCAATATTTTAAGTTGGGAGATCTTTAGTACCGATACACCACCATGCTTTTAGCACGGAGTCCGATCTCAACCCGATCGGCTAAGGCGTCTTACCCTGAAACGTCCACTCAAAATACTACCATGTGCGTGGTATGGCATCCGATCTCAGCCCGATCGGCTAAGCCGTCTCACCACAATGCCGTGTGGGTCGACGTCACCTCACATTCCGCTAGCAATCATCTCATCCCATTTAAGGGGAATTAGCTCAACACATCAATCTAGTCCCATATTCTGGGAAAACGCTCACCACCTCACACGGGGATTTTATACCTCACTCACTCCTACATCGGCACGTGTAGTTTCAGGGTTAGGTCATTTCAATCTACCCTTCCTTGGTGACTAAACGATACTCCAAAGGCATTTATTATTTAAAGAATTTACAGCTCATTTCACTGTCTTTTATGCTTCTCTTCATTTCATTGGCACTAGTGGCCTCTATTGTAATATCATTCTCGGCACATTGGCCGTGTTTCATATCTCATGCTCACTTTTTTTTCTTTCAAACACCATCAAGGATTATCAATAATAAGGCATTTCTATTCAAGACTTTAAGTACACATGTGAGCAAATAAGGGTCTTAGGTACAATGAGATTTCTTAGACAATTCGACATGATAGTTTTCATTAGAATCACGTCTTGAAGTTATAGCATGTTAACACACAACCCATACACTACAAGAAATATAGTTTTCAGTGGCAACCTTTTGATGTGACGAAAAGAGTTGCCTCAATACTAAGGGTTTTAGTTGCGACCTGGATAGTTGCCACATTAAGTAACATATTAGTGGCGATAAAAAAAGAGCCGCCACAAATAGGTGCAAATAAAATCAAAAGTTTTCCTCACTTGAAAAATAAAATTTGGCTAAAAGATTCGTTTGTGGCGACTGATGAATTGTCGCCGCTAATATGAGGTTGTTGTAGCGACTTGGAAGCCGCCCTTAAAATGAAAGGTTACAAAAATAAACCCCAGACAAACGAGAAAAAACACCCCCAAAATCATTTTCTACAATACACTTCTCAACAACGTTCCATCGGTTGTGAAATTTTGAATCCTCTATCCCTTTGCTGTGACCCGACGAACTCATCGACAATTCCTTTACCATTAAATATTTCCGTCGGTTACTATCTCTCTATCTCTCTATCTCTCTCTTCCCTTTTAGATTTCTTACCTTTGGCTCTGTTTTAATTGTGAATCTTAGTTCGTGCAAATATAAATAAGTTCTTCTATTCTATTTCTTCTTAACCTTCTTGTATCTTGAAGTCTTTCAGCTCTATAGGAAAAAAAGCCCCTTTTCTAAAAGTTTTTGCTATTTCTCAACCTAAACAAATGGCGAGAGCGGGTTTAGATGAAAATTGGAAGGAGTAATTGACAATTATGGAGTACATTTGGGATTTTTCACACTGGGTATGAGACGATATTTTCTTGGCAAAGAATGAGAAGATTTTATCAATATTTTCTTGACAAAGCATGTGGACAAGTGGCCTTTCTATGATACTTTCCGAAGGAATGGAGTTTTCCTCTCAATTTGTTGCTTGTAGCTGATGATTTTGCCTCTTAATTTTTGGGAGTAGGTTGGTGGTATTAGAGCTCACTATCTGTTAAGTAAACTGGAGATCTCTATTTTTATTGCTAAAGTAAATTATGATATTTTGTATCGGAAAATAAATTGGTTTATGCTTAAATTGAAATGGCTTACTAGAGAAGGATTATGCTTAATTGGAATTGTTGTTAGTTCATTGTGCCCTATAACAGATCCTCCTTTGGATGTGCATATGGTGTTTCCAATTACTCATGTCGTACAATATTATAAATTCTACACGCATGAAAATGTTTTCCTAATATTCAGTTATACGGACCATCGGTGATGATTGCCGAGTTTGAGCAGATAGTACCTGATTTTAAGAAGCAGATGTTGATATCATCAGCATTTACTGTAAGCAATCTTCCACCATTAAATTATATTGTAGAATAAATTAGAAAATGCCTTGGTTTGTTTGAGGCTCCCTTTATTACAATTGGTGTTGATTTCTGTTTATTTTTATTAAAATTTGAACTTGAAATCTGGTAAATCGAGCAATATTTAATTATAGATGTGATTTATTTCAGATAGGAAAGAAATTATTACCAAATATTAAAATCTTGTATCTACATTCCATGAAACAATAGTCAATATGCAGAATCAACTAAAGATAAGATAATTTCTTTATTTTTGTTTTATTCTTTTTAATAGTCTACAAAATTCGAAACCTTGTCTGGCAAATCGTATGTTCAACCTTGCTTTTGTTCTTCTAGTTGGTGGCTTTATTAAATTTTATGTTAGCTCTTAGTCTATTGTATTTGGGTGGAGATGCACTTTAATATTTCTTGCCTCTTCCATGAGTGTTTTCCTTTTCATATGCTTGACAAAGTATAAATTTTTAACATAAAGTTACTCCTTGATTTAAATATCTTGGCATAAGTTTATGATTTGAGAGAGAGTGATATGCAGTTAAAGCTATTTTTAAAATGTACAACTGTGAATTTATTTTGCACAGTTAAGAAATAGAGCCGCAGATACCAGGTGATAACAGTTCTAGGTCATTATCAAAATTATAATTTTTGACTTTGACTCAAGTAAAAGATGTGTTTCGACCCAATTCCATCTTAGGCCGTGATGGCGCCCTACACCATTGTTAAGCAAGTCAACACTGATCAAACTAATGGTTTTCCATTTAAATAAGATACTAAGTAGATAACATTTTCTCATTTGTTAAAGATATTTTGAAATTTGCGAAGGTGACATAATTTAAACGGAAGCAAACGAGTACAAATCGTAATCATGTAAACGAATACAAAATCATAAGTCTACTAGTGTGTGTGCCAAGACCTGATCTCACAAGTATGTGGGCAATCTAGTAGAATATACAAAAGGACACTAGCCTACTGCCTGGAATGAAATAGACAGAAAAAGAAAAAAAATACAACATAAGGGAGACTCCAGCTGCTGCAGAACGACTCGGAAGGCAGCTCACCGTGAAGTCTCGAGATGGGGATCAAATCTGCGCACTAGACTGGTAACCAGATGCACCTACCTCAGATCCTGTACAATTAAGTACAGAAGTGTAGCGTGAGTACATAAATAATATGTACCCAATAAGTATCTAGTCAAACTTCGAAGAAGTATTGACGAGGGGTCGACTCCGACACTTACTAGGGCCAATAACATGATAATATG